TTCGTTTTTTATCGATTTTTTTTGTAAGATGTATCCACGTGTCTTTATCGAGGTCTTTACTGAATTGGTTTGGGTTCTTCTTGATGACGTCTCTTTAAATATATTGAGAAAAATGAGGATGCAATTAGATGGCGCACCTGCAAATTTTTCATATTCAGTGAGAAATTATTTAAATCGAAAATTTAGTAATAAATGGATAAGTAGGAATGGTGCATGTCAGTGGCCACGTAGGTGTCCAGACCTCACCGTAATGGACTTCTTTGTTGCGAGCTATATAAAAAATCTTGTATACAATGTTCCACCTATTACTTGCGATGATATTGGAGGGAAGGATTAGAGATGCATTTGCGTGAGAATATCATTTGAAGATAGAATAAGATGCTGTATTCAGGAGAATGGTTATCAATTCGAACATCAATTAAAATTTTTCTTTGTTTTTTCTAAAAGTAAAAGTTCCTTTTATCATTATCATGAAAATATTCAAAAAAGTTTTCTAATAAAAAATATTATTTTATAAGCAGAATAATTATAAAAAGTTATTAATTTTGTATAAATATGTTTGTAGTAAGTAACTGAATTATTTATGAACATGAAAAATATTTATTAAAGAAAATTTTACTTTTAGAAGAAACAAAGAAAAATTTTAATAGATGTTCGAATTGATAACCATTCTCTTGAATACAGCATCTTATTCTATCTTCAAATGATATTCTCACATTCCTTAGAATATTTGGGGTGATTGTGGCAAATGCATATCTAATCCTTTCCTTCATATCATCGCAAGTAGTAGGTGGAACACTGTGTACAAGATATATTTTTATACAGCCCGAAACAAAGAAGTCCATTACGAGAGGTTTGGACACCTGTGGTAGCCACTGACATGAACCATTCTTACCTACTCATTTATTACTTAATTATCGATTTATATAATTTCTCACTGAATATGAAAAATGTGCAGGTGTGCCATCTATTTGCATTCACATTTTTCTCCTTATATTTAAAGAGACGTCATCAAGAAGAACCCAAACCAATTCAGTAAAGACCTCGATAGAGACACGTGGATACATCTTACAAAAAAAATCGATAAAAAACGAAACGGCACAAATATCTCCAATACCGTTAGAGATAGGTATAGGGAACCTATACACAGTTTGAAAGAGTTTTAAATTTCCCAACTCCCAAAGTAAAAATATACTGGGTGTTCCATTTAAAATAACCAAGTTATTGCTGTTTAAAGTTGAGAGAAGTATTCAGCAGTTTTTTGAACACCCTGTATAATACTAAGTGACGACAAATATAACAATTTATAACTTCAAGGATCTAAAATAGACCCTCCAAAGCTGCTTCCTTAAAATTATTTTTTTATTGCTAATATTAAATTTCTACGCTATGCCTGCATTTTCACTAAAATTGAAATATCTCACAAACTGTAAGTCCTAGGTATGCAGAACCTTTAATAAAGTTCACCTATTTTTTTACGGTGCTTTCAAAAATGCAGTAAAATACAGGGTGTTCCATTTAAAAAAACATAACTTTGATATGGTACGCTTTTCCTGGACACCCTGTATATTTCAAAATATTTTTAAAATGTAGCCGTGATCAACGTACACATACCCACCGAAACAGATTTCTGTAACATTTGCCGTTTGGTCACTAGCGACCGAGGCGTTACTGGTGGCCCACCTTGTATACCATATAAAGCATTAAAAAAATGTATCAAATTTTGAAAATTGATCAATAAATCAATCAAAAATATAAATAGACATGTAAAATTAAAAACAGACATGTAAAAATTAAAAATTGACTGTTAAATTTTTAGTAAGTCTATTTACTTCAAAAAATATTTAGGTTATAACCCTTAAGTAACTTGATAAATACACAAACAACGTTATTCCTACATATTTTCGGCCACTGAATCTGATTTCTGATCTCTATTTTGATTTTACATATCAGGATTTTTTGAAAATCGTTAATTTATATATATATATCCTCAAAAGTCCTCAGTAGTGGATTCTAGCTTCTTACATTCATTGCTAAACCACTCAACTACAAAGAGTAAAAGATCATATCTCTATAACTACATAATACAATAAGCCTGATACTACGAGTGACAGTACGAGGAGGCTCACTTCTAAGAATGTTTTCGATGGGTTCCAAAATCTAGGATTGGAGAACTCAGTAACCCTAATACCCTCCAACCCTTTATGAGGAACCACCCTCATGAGCCCAATAATCACAAAACCCTATAACTCTATAATCTCTTAACCCTTTATAATCCAACGACCCCAGAGCCTCTTAACCGTGCCTTTGAGACTGGGAATACAGTGAATAGATTTGGGTTCTTACTTCTTGTTTTCTGCAATCCCAGGTCCATGGGTTTAGGGTTATGGGGTTAAGTGGTTCCTAGGTATATAAGGTAAGATCACGGTGTTATAGGGTTACTTGTGTCTTAGTTCTTAGGGTCAGTATAATCGTAAATATTGTGATTATTTGAATTCCTTCGCTCTGCTCACTCTGTCTCCAGCTTCTTAGGAATATGGGGTTATTGGGCTTATGAGATTATGGTGGTTTCTGAAGGGTTGAAGGGTAACAGGGTTACTGAGTTCCCCATTCTAAGGTTTTGGTTACACATCAAGATTGTTATTAGATACGAGCCTCCACGTACTGTCGCTTGGAATCTCAGGCTTATGTTATAGACCAGGCAAGTTAGACAATAAATCAGCAATTTTTTTTTGATGAACCGATCGAGTTGCGGTTTTCGGCATTGTCTTCGGAAAAATATCAGGAAAAAAGTCTATCTATTACACTTTGGGGCTGGATCGAAACTGCATTGCGGGTGCATAAAGTGCATCTTGGAGTGCATCAATTTTTCCGAATTTTCTAAAATGGTAAAAATTGACTAAAAGTTATAGAAATTTGGTTTTCGGGGTCGGAGATTCCGAATCTGACCCTGAAAAATATGTCCAACGGCCCTGGGGACCCCAGGGGGCAAGGGGGGCCTCTGTAAAACATCGAATAGCTGAGTAATTGCCTTCTAAATTTCCACTAGGGGTTTTAGGTGTCGGGGATTCCGATTCTGACACTGAAAAGTATGCCCGACGCCCGTGAGGTGGGCTTTCTGGAAAACATCGAAAGGCACATCAGATTTTTGCAATAAAACTACTCCACCTGCTTACCAACCATGATCTTGTTGGCTCATCTTTACATTGTAACACACGTAAATTTACAGAGATTAGACAAGAAGGGTAAAAAAAACTAACAGGAAATTAATGAGTCGAAAAGAATCCACTTTATTCTGAGAACCAATTTTCTTTTTATTTTATCTAACACTTTCACTATCAATCACAATTTTCATCATCAGTACTGCCATCACTGTCTCCATCACTATCATCTATTACATTTTCGACTATTTCAGGATAGGAACAGTTGGTTCCAAAACAATTTGTACATACAATTGTGCATGTAATTCCTTGCTTCCTGCACCCACAAGATCTGCATTGTCGATAATCGGATTTTGTCGCCTAATTGTTATGCATTATCCGCAGTCGCACGGGCCTAAGAGATTCTTTTGAAAATCCATGATCCATTAAATATTCTTCGGTTTTAAGGAATATTTCTTTGATTTAACGAAATGTGTCTCTTGGGAACGGATTGTCCAGAATTTCTCCAGTTCTACGACAATTTTTCTTAGTGATAGACAAGCTAAGATTAATGGATATTTTTCAGTATCAGATTCGGAATCCCCGACCCCGAAATCCCCCGGGTAGAAATTTAGAAGGCAATTACTCAGCTATTCGATGTTTTACAGAAGGCCCCCTTGCCCCCCTGGGGGGCCCCATGGGCGTCGGACATACGTTTCAGTGTCAGAATCGAAATCCCCGACCCCAAAAACCCTCGAGTGGGGATTTAGAAGGCAATTACTCAGCTATTCGATGTTTTACAGAAAGCCCCCCGCTTGCCCCCTTGGGGGGCCCCAGGGCCGTTGGGCATATTTTTCAGGGTCAGATTCGGAATCTCCGACCCCGAAAACCAAATTTCTACAACTTTTAGTCAATTTTTACCATTTTTAGAAAATTCGGAAAAATTGATGCACTCCAAGATGCACTTTATGCACCCGCAATGCAGTTTCGATCCAGCCCCAAAGTGTAATATATAGACTTTTTTCCTGATATTTTTCCGAAGACAATGCCGAAAACCGCAACTCGATCAGTTCATCAGAAAAAAATTTCCGTATTCTAGGTGATTTTGGTCTAATTTGCCTGGACTATTATTATGTTACGATGTTATGGGAGTTGAGGTTGAGGGACCTCATGAGTTTGTATAAAAGACCGATGATATATATATATATATGTTGTTTTACTATTTGTAGTCGAGTGGTATCCGCTGGTATTACCTATACATTAACGATTTCAGATTCAGATTCAGTGGTTCAAAATATGTAGAAATAACAAGGTCCAGTATACTACGAACAAAGCTTTTTTTGGGGGCTTGTGCTATCCACGATAGTATTAAATTTATCTTTGATAATTTAGTTGGAAGGAAAAACGATGTGCTTAATTCTTAATAAAATTATTTAATATGTTTTTAAAATGTGTTCTCAATATTTTTAACTACCTACTTTGTGAGATTCAACGGCATTTTTACTGCATTTATGCTGCATATGCATTTAATAAACGAAATGTAAGTATGAAAAGTAATTTTTTTATGAAATCTGTTAACATCAGTAGTTGTCACTAAATTTAGGTAAAAGTTTAAAAAATGAAATTCCTTACAAAAAATTAGAAATACATAAGAATTTTGTAAAAATAATACATTTACTTTACTTAAACTACAGTAAATACATGTCTCCCTGAATTACGCTTCATTTTTGGGCTATGTGTGTCAAGCCATGTTTCAAAATATCTCCTAATAAGTGGTGCCGCCATCGACAATAAATTTCGAGGAATCTTCTCACTGTTTACTTCATCGGTATGTGGTTTAAATGAAAGGGTTTTTGTTACCTTTGGAGAGAACAGACAGGCTACGGTTACGCTGGCCGATAAACTGATGGTGACTGACATGCTTGTTATCCTCAGAGCCACGTGATTTGCAGTGCCGAAATACAAGGGGACAAAAGCCAGCCATATTACGCAGGTAGTGTACATGGTAAATCCTGAAAAAAAATATAATAAGAATTATTTCATATATATGAGAACCCGGTCGGCGTAACAGTTCATACAAGTAGCATAGAAATAGTTATTTATATATTGAGGCCAAAATGTGTTCTCGCCTATAAAAAGCAGCTTCTGCTCGAGATGCATATTACATTTTTCCATCGATCGTAACTTGGCTTCGCATCGTTAATCAATAGCTCGAATTTAGTGTCTCATTATTTTACGTCCGATTATAGCGGATGTGAAGTTACTCAAAGTGATGTCGGTAGATTTAGGACGATCATGGCAAAATCTGTGGAATAAATTGTCTACCTAACTATACCTGTCTAAAGCTGCAGACGCGAGATAAACTACCGAACAGACACATTGTTGAGTAAATAGGGTCCGCATCACACTATTAAATTTATGTCAAATTTGTTTGAGCAAAATAATTTAATGATGACGTCAAAATTAACTCATATCTCCAAATTGTTTTGATGAAACTGATTTGGTTAAATTAGTAAAATAATATGTAAATAACAGTTACTCTAAGAATGGTGTCAAAAATTACTAGTTCCATTTTTTAAATATTATGTTTTCTTCCCATGTTTCATTTAATTTAAAAACAGAGAATCATTCATAAAAAGAATTTGCTTAATTTGACTTTATCAAACTTGTCATGATGAGTACAAATAAATAGTACAGAAACACAAATAGGTAAAGAGTAGAAATAAATAGTACACAATTGCTTACTGATTTAAATGACAAATTTCGTAATGAAATTTAAAACTGATTATGAGTGTAGATTTAAACATTTTTAAATTTAAATTAGTACTTAATATAATTTCAATACTGACTAAATCTAATAATTTTAGAGTATATTGACCCCTAAAATAGAATCACTAACACTTTTCATATCGACATGTTTAATTTTTCTGAGATAAATAGTTTTTAACCTACATATTTTTTCTTCAAAAGGACCATGGACATTGATGTTTTTAATACAAATTGCTACCAATCGTACCTAAATCATGCTCTTTTCCTGTATTGCTTTATACAGGGTGTCCCAGAATAACGTGTACAACGGAAGACCACAGATTCGTGAACTCAAAATAGGTAGATTTAGGCTAATTCACTTATATCCGAAATCGCTTCGTTTGGCCGCTAGATGGCCGTAAAGTTGCTGAAATTTTTTTGAATTTTGTAAATAACTCGAACATGTATTAATCGACTTTGATTATTTTTGGGGTGTGGACTTTTGCTTTCAATCTACAAATTTTGGTGTTATACAGAGTGTTTTTTAAAACTCATAACTCCTACAAATTTAATGAGTGTTACGATACGATACCACATGTTACTTCATTTTTCGATATTGATACACACATACGACGAATTAATAGTTATTTACAACGTGCCTAATTTTATTTAAATTATCCGTAAAAACAATTAAATAGAATAAAAATTGCTGGAGATAAAAGTAACAAAGTTGATGTTATCAAACTTAGTACAACTTTATAGGGGGTGAACAACCCTCTAGTGTGCTAAAAATGTTTGTACAATTACAATTAACATTGCAAAATAAAAAGTTTTTACTTTTTCTCAAATCATATGAATAATTTGTTCTATTAGCCGCAAACAGATTTAAACGGATGCAAACTACCCCTCATGTTCACCCCCAAAAACAGTATTCCTCTGACATCTCAATATTTTGAAATGAAATAAAATGGAAATTACTTCTTTTAAAAAAATAAAATGTTTCACAAGTGATTCCGTGTTTGGGGGTTGCAACCCTTATTTTTTATTTCAGTAAACTATTTTCAAACATTTTTTTATATATAAAAAATTCATATTGATTCAAAATATTAAAAATATGTAAACAAATTGACAAAAATAATTTCTCATTTTAGGGGGCGAACAACTCCCTAGTAATCCCCTAGTGTGTGAAAAATGTCTTTACTTTTTCTCTAATCATACGAATAATTTTTTCTCTTGGTCTAAAACGGATTTAAACAGATGCAAACTACCCGTGATGTTCACCCTCAAAAACAGTTTGAGGGATGAACATCAGGGGTAGTAACTCATCAGTTTAAATCCGTTTTAGACCAATAAAAAAAATTATTTGTGAAATATCTGTTTTTTTTTATAAGTAATTTCCATTTCGTTTTATTCCAAAATATTGATTAGAACCCGAGATGTCACAGAAATACTGTTTTTGGCGGATGAACATGAGGGGTAGTTTGCATCCGTTTAAATCAGTTTGAGGCTAATAGAACAAATTATTCGTATGATTAGAGAAAAAGTAAAAACCTTTTATTTTGTAATGTTATTTCTAATCGTATAGACATTTATCGCTCACTAGGGGGTTGTTCGAGAACTTGATTTTGCCAATTTTTTTAACAAATATTAATTTTTTATATATGAAAAATGTTTGAATATAGTTTTTTTCAAATAAAAAATAAGGGTAGTGTGCAAAACCGTACTTATCTTATCAACTTTGACGTCACCTGTTACATGAGCTTTGCATAATAATGAAAAAGTAATATTAACGGTCGGTAGAAGAAAGCGCAAAAAAAGCAAACGCCTGGGTGGGGCATTCTGGAAGGAAGCCTAGATAGTTGAAGATAGACGGTTGAAGTGAGAACAGCGCGGAGTGAAAAGTAAGGCGATCAGTGTAGTGTGAAAAATATAGAAGTGGAAATTTAAGTGTTTAACCGGTATTAGTTAGCAGGTAATATTCTTTAAGTACTTTGTTGTTAATTGTTCTATGTAATCTTATGATTGTGATGGTTATAGATGTTTCATGATAATAATTCTTTGTATGTTTAGCTTCCATTGCTTTATGCTCAAGGGCATATATTTTTCTAAGGTAAAATTGTTATAATTATTACTAACGATTGCTCATTATTTATTTCATGTTAAAATATATTGTGTGGGCCCCCAGACATTACAATAATGACTCCTTTGTTTCACATCTAACTTGTTTTTGTCATGATTACGTTGTTCGTAAAATATAGATGTTTCATGATAATGATTCTGTATGTGTTTAGCCTTCATTGTCTTACGCCCAGGGGCGTATATTTTTCTAATATAAAATTGTTACAATTATTATTAAAGATTGTTCATTATTTATTACATGTTAAAATATGTATTTTGTCGTGACCGCCCAGATATTGCAATAACGACTTCTTTATTTCACATTTAACTTGTTTTACCATGATTATGTTGTTCTCTGATTTCTTGTGCTCACTTTATGTCATGCGTATGTAAGAGCTTCAGACTGTAAGAGACAAACTCCATTAAAATATGGAACAAAATGAAATAAATTTCTAGAGAAAATGTTGAAATTGATCCCCATTAGCCGCAGATACAGGCATGGCATCGACGCACTCAGTCTACTTGATTGGCACATTGCCAAAACGCATTCGTTGATCACAATCTGAGGGTAAAATCTGTTGAACTGGTTGCAGACAGTAGGGTACGAGATGAGGTTCTTACTTGCTGTGCGAGTCGTCGAGTACTAATTGTGTGGTCTTCGTCAAGATTTTCCAACACTGCATCTTCAACATTAAGGTTCACTTGCTGACCACGTCCTTCTCCTCGAGGAATAACACTTCCCGTATCTCGCAGCCGCTGAACGCACTGCAGGATTGTATTTGCACATGGGGGTGATGTTGTGGCCATCATTCAATTGTGTGGTCTTCGTCAAGATTTTCCAACATTGCATCTTCAACATTAAGGTTCACTTGCTGACCACGTCCTTCTCCTCGAGGAATAACATTTCCCGTATCTCGCAGCCATTGAACGCACTGTAGCATTGTATTTGCACATGGGGGGGGGGGTGATGTTGTGGTCATTATTCCCGGTACAACCTAGTCGCCGCGGAGCGCATTTTCTCCGACTGCAATACTAACACAATATCGACATGTTCAGAAATAGTAAATGCATTGTTTTCTCGGTTCATTGTAAAACTAGTTTATGCAAAAAACTAAAAAATTAATCAAAGTCAGAAATAAGAATCTCGTTTTTAATGTAATCGGCACGATATTCTTATTTTATACTTCTTTATAAAAATTATACTGTCCCTATCGTGGAATTACAAAATAAAAACTTTTGTCTGGAATCTTTTACTTTTTAACACTGATGGGTCGATGGACGATGCTTAATATTTAATAATGAAATGAATTCAATACGAATACAAAATCAGTTGACTGCACAAATTTTTTGACAATGTAACCTAACCATCTTTTAGTATTACTAGTATTAGATTATATCGACTTAAATTATAAGGTTGCATATTGGGTTGCATAAAAACATTTCCAAAGTTTTTAATAAATAACACAGGGTCGGCCTTCATTTTCGTTGAATGAATAAACTTTAATTTACAAAAAAAAAACGTGAAGATAGAACTTTTTCGTATATGAGTTTTCTATTACAAATATCATCAGGAAGCTGTAGTTTAATTTTTATAGATCATACATGCCACACCCTATACATATACTCGACAGTGTACCACAAAACAAAGTCCAAGTGCAAAAAACCAAAGCTTCAGTTACAAACCTTAAAAAACAAGCAAAGTAAAAACATAAACTAAAGCAGTGTGCAAGTGTTATGAGTTTTTAGACACGCAAATAGAACGTGGACCATTATCCCAAGGACAAACTATCTCGTCGTCAATGAAGAAGAGCGATCGTATCGATGTTATCTATCCCAAGCCTCAGTTGAGGTGGGAGACGCCTGAGCATCCTAGAAATACCCTTACAGGCGAGTAGATTCCAATATTATATGAGGGTGTATGATCCTCTTAATATGCTGAGCGATAATGATGATAGGCAAACGGCCAATCAGAAGCCACGACATAATTTTTATGTAAAATCAACTAACATATTCCTTTAATTATTAACAAATAACGAATTATACATACTTACTATGAGCAGGAAGAGTGTAAAACCAAAAAATAATGTGTTTTTTTATATAATTAATAATAAAATTTTAAACGTTATTTATCTAACGGTTTTTCTGG